GTTCGTGAAAATGCTTGGTCAAGGCGTTTTCCCAGGGGTAAACCTACCATTTTTCCGCAGTTAGTATGGCGGGTTTTATCGGTGTCATAGTGGAGGGTGCTGCCTCATATTCCTGTTGGGGGCTGTCTTTACTCATGTTTCTTAGGTAACAAGTGACAAACAACAACAAAACTGCCCTCACATGCGAACATACGAGTCCCAGGAAGTAATTGAGAAGACTAAGACAACACTTTTATTCGCCCGACGTTTCGACATCCGTCGCGGATTCTTCATCAGCAAGCGGTAGCAGAAGCAGGAAACACATGCATAGGAAGTTGCACTATTTACGGGGAACAGTCATTACAGCATACGTATAACAAATGACGACAATTAACGATAATTACCCTCTTGTGTGTATACGGTTTTATGGCCGGCATGTGGGCTCTGACTTGCTGACATTTCATCACGCATGGTGGAATTGGACATGATGCTTGCTCGGCCATCTGGTTCCCTGTCGTTGGCGTTAAACGAAGCGTTGATCTGTACATTACCAAGTGGCACGTTGTTTTGGCTTAACTGAGCCGCAGCATCGAATATGGATTGGGCAGGTCATTATGCTTGTTTATGGACCGGGGTTCCGCGAACTATGACTCAAGTAATTCTTGACTCAGACGATTTTCACCTCTTGCTAGAATGTCGGCCTCATCAAATTTTAACGTGTGGCCGGGTCTCATCGAATCAGCTGCAACTTGAAAATTGACGTCATTTCGCCGCACTGCTGCCGGGTGTTCGGTTAATCTCGTTTTGAGAGGTATGCTAGTATCTCGACGTAGTTGCTATGTCCGCAACCGCATCGGTGCTGCAATTATTGTTAACTGTCGTCATTTGTCATACGTATGCAGTAATGACTGCTACTCATGTTTCCTACCACTTTCTGCTCATGTCTCTGACGAAGAATCTGCGACGAATGTCGAAACGTCAGGCGAATAAAATGGTTGTCCCAGCGACCCAGTCATTTTCTTCTTCTCAACAAGAAGCCTATCAATTAGCCCAAGGCCGATAAGTTTAAGCAGTCGTTCAAATCTTTGATGTACAGTGGCAATAAACGCTCTTTAAATGGACAGCCGGCAGGGCTCTTCGAAAGGTCAGCAGCGCGAATCCAAATACGCTGCGATGAGCAACAAAGAATGCCGCGGTTTTCCTTCCGGAAATATCACCTTGCGAATCCTAATAGGTTCTATTGACGGTGCAAGCCCTTAGTCACAGTACCGCTTTGTGGAATGTATCACTCACCACTGTTAATCTCCAGCGGAATTAGTAACTGAGGGTACGAAAAATACAGGGCGAAAAAAATGACTTCCTTTTGTGACAAGCACATTTCTTACTTAGATATTGCCGACAAAGACAAGGGAGACTGAAAGAACCATTTCTGGCTTA